GCCGTGACCAATCCATTAACAGAACCAGACGGCAGACTATAGAATCCCTTGGCGTAGGTGTAGGCTGTTGCCGTATATGTCTGAGCCGGAATCCAGTAGGCATCAGCACCTGGAACAAATGTTTCAATATAAAAGCAGACAGGCTATGTCTTGAAGATAAAAAACTATTTTAATACATGACAATACATGAGCTTGAATCGTGTCCAAATGATGAATTATTTGCTAGTGGCCTGATTGCTTTAAAACTTTCCAGCCATTAGCAGAGATCAATGTTTCTAGTAGCAAAGAGCTGTTTTAGTCAAAGCAACACAGTCCACAGCTCGAACTTTTGAGCTGCAACCTAGGCGGATGCATGCTTGTTTGACTAGACTCAATCCCACATTTAAGCTCACTTATATTTCTATTGAAATTGTATGAACGGCTTTTAAATTCGATTTTTTGACATAGGGCAGTGGCGAATTCCTCTTTTAATTTGAATGAAACATTCTTGCTTCAGCTCCCCTGGGACAATTTCTTTCGATTCTAGTGAAAACGTGCTAAGCTTTATTTTGCCATATGACGGACTTCATCAGATGAGGGCAAAATAATTAAGCAGAATCAAGAAAACTCATCAGTCAATAACTAATTGTAGCATTTTTATGAGTCCGTGTGTAAATTGGTTAGTCTATATCATATGGAAACCCTGTAGAACAGAGGGTTATTTGAATGACATTATTTTGCCACTAAATGGGCGAAAATAAGACTTCCATGAGAAAATATACCTTTAGAACGACACTCTAGCTAAACTACAAGAATGGAATTATCACTATTCGGACTTGGCTGAAATGGAATAGCCACCCATTATGGAAATGTAACCTTGTAAATGCAATATATAATTTCAACATTTTACAACTTCCCTTACTTCCACGTTACTAGCGGGTCACAGGGCAGTGTGGGAAGACTAGACTATTATCACTTTATGCAAAATAGGGTAATAAAACTCTTTTTTTCAAAGATCTACTGGTAGTTTATAATTATACTTAATCTTAATACAACTAATGGAAGCTATTGTTTCATCAACGATAACAGTACAAATTGATCGTCGCGATGTGGCCTAGTGGCAGCATAATAAATTATAAGTTACACCACCCTGGGTATGATGATACCCAGACGAGTTCGGAACTACAGTTCATCCTGGTTGAGTATACCTTTCGAGAATCAAGACTAAATGAAATTCATAGGCATCATAAGGTTTATTGATATTAATGTTGGAAAATTAAACTCAATCCTTCATCAAATTATTTTGACCTCGAGTGATTACAGTTTTTGTAAAAGCTTCGAAGCTGGCTTAATCTGAATATTATATA